CTCATAATCACATCGTGCTTTTGGCACGCAAAACCTTTATTATTATTATTATTATTATTATTATTATTATTATTATTATTATTATTATTATTATTATTATTCATCGAATACTACAGCCAGCCACATTCAACGTGCTCCCAAGTCGTATATAGCGCGACAAAGGACGTTCTGCTTGCGCAAGGACGCTCGTCGGCCGAGGTCGGCGCACGGAGTAGTCGACGGAGAAGGCGTCCCGGCGAGACGAAGTGCAGACCCGTGAACGAGACGACGCAGAGGGAGCCGACGACCCGGTCCGATCATCCATCTCGTTATCGTATAAGCGAAAAGCTCGGTTCCACGCCGGCACGCTTTGAACACGCGCCGCACCACGCAAGCCAGAACGGAGCCGCCAACATCACTCAATTAGGGAGGCGTATAAGTACACAAGACCCTTTTTGCATGAGGGTCCCGTTGCAGTCTTGTACTGAGGGTCCCGTTGCAGTCTTGTACTTTGGGACCCTCGTCTGTATATTTTACTCCCTGTAACATCCTTTTATGACATGATAATAAACTGATTTATTTATTTATTTATTTATTTATTTATTTATTTATTTATTTATTTATTTATTTATTTATTGAACGAACGGTATTGGTGCGATACTGGTGTAGAAAGGACGATATGTACCTAGCACTCGGGTGGAGTGAAAACGTATGTCGCACAAAGAGAAGAGATGGCGTTCAAGTTCCCGTCCTTGCCAAATGCACGCATGCAACCACTGTATAGGGGCAAAGGCATGATGCAGGGGCAAACCACCGTATAGGGGAAAAATGACAATAATTTGGGAACAGAGCAGCCCAGGTGAGTGAACGAAGATCTATAGGCAACTCTAGAAACGAACTATAATCTTTGTGACAGCATTACCGCGTTTTACATTTTTGTTTTGTCAGATTGCTAACACTGCTAGGTTCACCACTTCCCCTTGCAGATAACGATACGACTAGGTGAAGCCTCTCGCGAAGACTCCGGCACTTCATCAACATCGTCAATCCAATGCGACGAAGATATCCAACCGTGCGATGACCGTCCAACGACGAACGTTCATTATTCCGGCACTGTTGCGCCGTTTTCCTGCGAAACCACAACAGCCCAGAAGCTTCGGCGTAGGAGGAACATATATCCCGCCGCTGGAAATGCATGTAATAATGCACACGACCACCGCAGGGTGTCACGGCCTCCCAGCGCTATCACATGCGCTGCCACGGCCTCCCAGTCCGGGACTCGCGTGAGAGATTAAGGAGGTCGCCACCAGTCGCACACAATGACAAGAAGCAGCGGGAGGTCATCAACGGCGGCGTATAAGGTGACGGCTGCAGAGGCATAAAAAGACGACCGTTCTGCAGCAGACCCGCGCTTCCGAAATTACGGAGTGCAGCTGCAGTGGTCTGAAACAAGGCCCAATCACGTGATATGTTCCCTTTGTAAATGCAGCTTATAGCAGTGCCCCGGGAAGAAACTGGAGTAATGCGCCACTGGAGCGGTACATCGTGCATATATATGCCAAAAATTTACCAGACTTATAGCACCTAGAACATTGAAGCCTTTGAAGCAGTTACCGAATCTCTTGATTCGCGAACCAGAACTTTCCCTATCGTCATAGGCATGCACAGGATTTCACCTTCATAGGGGGAGGGGGGAGGAGTGATGAGAGAAGCATTTGGCCCCCTCCCCATGCCCATACTGGTCGAGTCCAAAAGGCAACATGCTTCCCAATTAACTGTGGAACAAAAAGAAGAATGCAAATGAAGCGATGACATGCCTCTCACAATGGCTATCCTGGCTGCTTCACAATGTCTATTGTTACTCTTCTTTTTTCTCTATCTCTTTTTTTTATATTATTTCGCCTTTCGCCCACTCCCCAAGTGTAAAGCAGCAAACCGAGCGGTAGCTTGGTTAACCTTCCTGCCTTCCCTCCTCTTTATTTATCTCTCCCTCTCTTTCTCTTTCTGATTTTCTTAAGTACGGGAAGCAAACAGTTCTTGGAATGCAACAGAAAACCTGCGTGACCACAACCGATCTAACATACGGGGCAGACGTAGTGACTTCCCGCCCTGGGTGACTGGGGGAGGAGGGGTGTCCCCTCTGCCCCCTTCGTAATCTCCACACGACGCAAACTGAAACGTTATAAACTGTCTATATAAAACTGATGGTACGGCTTCAAGCATCACCACTAGGCCTTCTGCTTCTAGATCCGAAAACGTCCACGACCTGGTTCCTCTCGTCTTTTCACTAATTCATTCCACCAGCTGGTAGAAACAGGTTGATTTGTTTCACTAGCCCGTTACAGAGCTCCGAATCAGCTTGGCTTGTGGTGTAGGTGGTGTTGAACATTAATGGCTGCCCGGTAGCGAATTACCCCGACTGTGTGTATATATATATATATATATATATATATATATATATATATATATATATATATATATATATATATATATATATATATATATATATATATATATATATATATATTTTCTACGCTCTTTCTCTCTCTACAATTATCATTTATAGTACCACCAGATTCAGTAAGACGATGAAGACGATGACAAGGCACCAAGCCACACTTGTGAAACACGATTGCCAGCAAGCGAGTGAATATATACCCTTTTGCAAAGAGCCCAGCGAATGTTGAGCAACTGGCAGTCCCGACAGCCCGCCCTCAAACGAGGCCCACTTCAACGTCTCGTCTCAAGGTCGCGATGCAGCCTCGCGCTAACTAAAGCTCGGTCCGATGACGACGAAAAGTAATAAGAATAGGAGAGCGCCTGCATTAGTTCCGCGTATGAGCTGCACGCACGCGAGAATCACGGCAGTCTTTCCCCCATGCCCTTCAGGGTCCGAGATGGATCCGCCCGCCAAGGAGCAGCAGCGAATAGTCTGGAGGACTTCCCTTCGGGAAGAAATAAACAAAAAAACGCAATATCTTTCTCGAGATGAAAGGACTGCCCAAGACGGTCCCCAAGGCAGCCCACAAAGAAATCCCACAGTAGTCGCTCTGACTTGTAAATGCTGCAGCATCCCCTGGCGACATCCCCCCGCCACTGGCGTCTTAGCCGGGCTGAATTCCACTAAAGCGGGAATAATGGCGACCAAGGTGACTCGGGACGAGCTTACTGGTCCTTTCAGAACACATCGCGCACCTTTCCTTGACGCAACGTGGCTCACCTTCTCTCCTCTGTACTACACATCTATACGCACGCTGCCGACGGTTGGGCATTTCGCAAACGGCCAATGTCAAGCACGCCTCGCGAAATAAAGGAAATAAAGAATTCTGACAGCTATGAAAGAGTACCTGGACGACACGAAATGCCAAAACCGCACTCACAGTTTTAAAAGTATAAGCAACTTGAGATGTCGTCTCCCAAGCTGACCATGCAATATATTTCGAAAGCGTGATGTCTGCAGACAACCACGTGACGTGTTCAGCGGTAAGAAGAGAAAAAAAAATGAAAGAGGGAACTACATTTGCGTGCTTCATCCTCGCTACACAAACGTTTTTTTTCTCGACTTTACAGATAGGGAAGGTCATCTTTCTACGAGTGACCATATAGAGCCAACCACGGAAAAATATCTCACGTGATATTCGTAAAGTGCTATGTCTATATAAACTCGCCGTCCGTTTCGAACTTTCGTCGTGATCCGGCGGTGGCGGCATCCGTAGAACGAAGGACTTGGTATACAACCGTCTACTTACGTACTGCCCCCAAAGCCCGAAATGTATTGCAAGACGTTAACACCCAAAAAATATAATCTACAGCACTTACAAGCAATTGTGGCAATTGTGGCAAGTAAATAGCAAGCTACTAAATTCATGCAAAGGCTAACTTCACATGAACTTGACGCAAATGGCTGGGGTCAGAAAGCAGGCTGCCTCAGTCCGCGACTGTCACGTTTACGTGCAACTCAAGCTGTCTGGAGCCAGTCAACCCGCTGCAGGAAGGTTGCCCTCGAACTCTTTTCGGTGTAAGAGCTTTCGGTTGGCCGGGCTCGTCTCCATGTCTGCTATATGCCCGATCCACGGACCAGCGTTCGGCCAGGAAGACGATCAGACTGTACTGTCCTCATGTAAACTCATACACCTAAAGCGTAGCCAACGTGGTCTACACGGCTCAAGACACGTCGGGCACTTCTCAGTGGACGCATTCCATCGCCGCGACGTCTACGCGCTCGTTTTTCGACGAGACCCTGCCGTTTATTGGGACAGATGGCAGCAGCACCGTACTCCGAGAATGTACTCCGGGAATGTACTCCGAGAATTATGATAGACTCAAATAGAACAGGAATGTATCAATCGCCTCATTCATTCATTCATCCATTCATTCATTCATTCATTCATTCGTTCATTCATTCGTTCATTCTCTCATTAAAAAAAACAGCCCAAGTGCCGCACGAGACGCGCGCTATCGCTCAGCGAACTTGGAATATCCACTGAATTTAAGGTTGTGAGTCTTCGCACGCGCTGTCTACTGTTACGTCAACCAACTAGCCCTATTTAATACTCTTCTGCAATATGAATCCAATCGGTCTTCTTTTAATATCAAGAAAATTATGAACTGGCTGAATTCCGAGGCTCTGTGCATGCCAATAATGATGACACATGCCGCAACGGGGAACACCCAATTAGGGTTCACCATCGGGGTTCCTTAACAAGCATCCGACCGCGTTGAACTACAAAGGTGTGATCGCATTCAGTTCCCAACAAAATGTGGCCCAGCAGGGAGCCCAACCGACCTCATCGGGCATTACAGCACAACACCCTAAACGCCAAGCAGTCGAAGCTTCCACTAGGCAATTCCAGATGGTTTCGCTATCAGTAGGCAATCGTTGAAAGCATAAATCAATGTCCCCCTTCGTTTGCAGAACAGGTTACGACACAACCGTCTTCGATGTCTTCCCACTCGTGATGCGACCTGCGACGCTGGAGAGACGTGCAAGAGCGCTTTACAGCCGTACATATAAGACTCACCTGTGCGATGCCCTGGGTCACGTGTTCACTGGTAGGTCGGCTCCGGTCGTCGCTACTGCTGCTCACGCTGCGCCAACAAAAAGAAACGCGCCGTTTAAATGACTGGGTTCAACGCTGTGGCATACGTTGTGTAATGTGAAAGAGAAGTCGAATAACGTTTAATTATTCCGACGCAGCGAACAGTGGCGAGCTTTTGGTTCAGCTTTCAGAAAAAGCAGCGCGAAATGAAGGGCACGGAGAACACGACAAGGTAGACGAAAAAAGGTGCTAAACGGCGCAAACGATAGAGAGGGATAGAAGAGACGAGAACAGAGCGCTAAACTAACAACCAAAGTGTATTGCAAACCAACTGCAATATATAGGAAAGACGACGCGACAAGCGCTGAACTCACAACCAAAGTTTTAACGCAGATATAGCCGTGCGTGTTTCGTAGCAAAGAAGACCGCGGCACATTCGCACACAAAGCTGCTATACGTCATACACCAGGAAAGCAACGTATGCATTACCTCTCAGTGTTTGAAGCCTAACCCCCGTATTCACAAACGCTCCTCGACTCGATTTCCACCCTTCACTTGACGGAGTTGAGCACTGCGCCACCGCTCGGCTGAAAATGACGCTGCGCTACTCGGTAATCGCAGCAGATTATCGCTGAATATGCAGTGACTTGCCATGCCTAGAGACGGCGCTCCCATCGGCTTGCTCAAGAGAAGGTGAAGCGCTGAGTGAAGGGACGTTCTAGAATACGGGGGTAAGAGTATGAGGGAAACGCGTTCCGCAGAGATAGAACACATTAAAAGAAGGGATACAGGCACCAACCAACAATAATGACATCACACAGAATACACGGGCCACTGACATATCGGTCTCCGCTGAAGTGCAGCCGCCGCTGCCGGAATCGAACCTGCGACCTACGGGTCGGCAGTCAAGCACCGTATACCCGCTGATCAACCGCGGCGGACAACAGTCTCAATCGCAGCGAAGGTAATCATCTGCCTGCGTATACGTCAGATGACAGGTCACGCGCCGCACATAAGAAGGCGGACAGCTCTGTCAATTTCATAGTGAACATGGCTTCGAAACGTCCGTTTCTTAAGACCATTTTGGTCGGTGTCCGTATCCTTTTTTTTTTCAATATTTAACTTAACGTTGAACGCATACTTCAATTTCACCGTGCATGCTCGACCACCACGCCCAAGCAAACGCCAACGAGGTGAAAACATACAATATCTTAGGAAATATAGATTAACAATCGACATTAACAATTTTCTTGAACTTAAGGTGCCGAAAGTGTTAAACCGGCCAGAAAATTATTGATTACATAGCAGAAGCAAATCCCACATTCTACCAATTTAAAAAAAAAAGGGGGGGGGGATACATGACGAGGTCTTCGACACCAACATGAATGGTGAACTTCTACAAACAGGAAGTGTGACCCGGCACTATACCGTAACCACTCCTGCAATGAGCAGGAAGTTGGCCAATGCATGCGGCCGGAACCGGATTAATTGTCCGCTCCAAAGGGCAGAAGCTTCAGACATTGCGTCATACAAGTGAATGAATGAATGAATGAATGAATGAATGAATGAATGAATGAATGAATGAATGAATGAATGAATGAATGAATGAATGAACTTCATTTCAAGTCCAGCAGTTTCCTTCGGGCGAGGTGGCGGAAGAAAGAATTAACCCCTGTCTTTTCCCACCCTTCATCGATGATGATGGCGGTGCCTCAGGTGACGGCTCGAAATCCTTGGACCCGGGCGGTATCTTCGGCTTGCCGGACGGCCCCAAAAGCTGGTCGACCAGCTAGCTCATCGCTGGTGAGCTGCGCCTCCCAAGCTGACGCAGTCAATCCGCCGCAGTGACAAGTGAGTCACAGTCTTTCATTTATTTGTTGGGGTGTACGCCCCAAGATCTCGATATGGTTATGAGGAACGCTGTAGTAAAGGGCTCCGGAAAGTTCGACCACCTGGAGGTATACTTCACATGCACCCAAATTGAAGTGCATGGGCCTCAAAACATGTCGCTTCCACCGAAAGTGCAGCCGCCACGGCTGCGACTGGACCCCGCGATCTTCAAGACAGCAGTCGACCACGGCAAGACGACGTTGACGACGGCAAGACGTGCAGGAACGGACAAATAAAGAGAGTTTGGCGTTCATAGACTTAATTTTTCTTCTCTCGTGCAAGTGTTCGTACGCTTTACGTTCTCCTACACCACTACAAAGTATTTTATTCGATTCAGATTGTATAAGGTGCAATTCATAGACATTTTTATTTATGAAGATATATGAAAACCTGGGTCTGTAAGTTATTTTTCCCTTTTGCGACTTTTTAGGAACTTTTTGTCGGAGAAATATGTCGCAATCCAACAAATAATTTTACGGGCACTTATCTTTGCGTTTTTCTTTCAAATTCAACAGTTGTGATGAAATTCAGAGCTATTCGTGACGCTGCTGCGTCACCTTAAAACAATAAATTAAAACGTACACCAGCTTTTTATTGCCGCATGCTAATTTTCCATGTTTTCTGATAATACAAATTTCGGATTATACGATTAATTTTGCGGTGACCCCCGCGGTGATCCCACACGAGATTCGTATCACCGGTGTTTCACTATACTTGTATGCTATAGATAAGAACATCCAACGTTTCTGTCAAGCCCAACCCGTTGCTCTCATGCAGCAAGTTCTTTCACGCGAGTACCATACACACAAACAGCCGAGTAGGTACCGTTACCAGTTGACCATGCACCGTGGAGGGTGACGTAGCGCAATCGCCACACGAGTTCGTCTACGCGGAAATTTCACATCTAAGCGAAAGTTCGCCGACAGGCACTGCTAGGTGTGACACGGAACCAGCGCATAGCTACCCTCACATCGAGCAGGACGTATGGCGCGTGCATATATGGCGCAACGAACGAGGGGGCCGGATTGATTGACAACTCAAAAAGGCAGACGCTTCGGGGAGAGCGCAATACAAGTGAGCCATATAATTTCAAGGCTGTTCGCTCGCTGCCGCACAGCGTTTGAGCGGGATGTTTGCCGATAGCTATAGGCTAGTTGGTTCGTGAATATTGGGGCAATTGCAGCACAAGAAGCGCGACACTGATCACACAAATTATTTATTTATTTATTTATTTATTTCTGTGTGTTACTTGTTGTGTTATATATTTATTTACGAAAACAAATGCGACAGATTGAGCGGCCTGCGTGCCAAACTGCATTTAGGAGCAGAGGCCCCATGTCAGGCTATATAGCCTTTAGCCTCTGCTCCAGATCCTGAAAGAATTTCAGGACGAAATAAACTTCAATTCAATTCAATTCAAATCGCAAGGCTGACTTTTTTTTTATTCGAAAGGCACAGCATATATACAGGCAGGTGAACAACGAAAAATCAAAAAAGGCAAAAACGTTTCAAGTTACGCCAGCCGACAGACGTAAACATCAATTTCGTTTAAGGTTGACATGTTACGTGATGCATTATATTTAGGATGTCGTGAAAGGAGAGTCCCAAGCAAAAAAAAAAAGCAATACATGACCAATCCTTTGCGGTCGGTACAAAACTCGGTATAAAATAGGTTTCCGAAACAGGTAAATGAAGTAGTTTGAAAATTCAGAAAACCCTTGACTTCTGTATACCGTGAAAGTTACATGGAGTTTTCACGGCGGCTGTCAAGCCACGTGGCAGCGGTTGCTATAAGTTCGGAGCTACCAATGCAATAAAAACGACACCAACGTTTTCACCGCAATGATAGAGAAGTCCAGAAGTCCTTGGTAGAGCTATATACTTCGAGATGTCGGCGGTGTTTGGAAAAGTTTGCGTGATTTTGCCATAAACGTGCTTTTTTTTAAGGCGGAGCTCTTCGCCAAATGAGAGAGTTTCGATGAAAGGGAAGAGGCTCTTGTAATATGCGCCTGCCCCCCCCCCCCTAATCCCCTCTCAACTTATCAATAATTTCTGAGGTGATATCACGGCAACGCTGTATTCATTTAACGCGCGTGTCTTTGACCCGTCCGAACCTTCCACCGATATTGGTATTCTTCACATTGGTAAATAAACGCTCGTTCTTTCACGATTCCTTTATTCCCACTATCTCGAACGAATGGAACCACCTACCCTCCTCTGTTGCCCAATGGACCGATGTCACTGCTTTTAAGGCTGCTGTTGAATGCGATGTTTACTCTTAGCAGCATTTTTTCTTTGTTCACTCTTATTGTTCTTATTACTATGTATACTATTACCCACTCCCTTCTGTAACGCCTTCGGGCCCTGAAGGTACTGAAATAAATAAAATAGAAAAACGCGTAAAGTTGAAGTTGGCACTTAGGGTAAATCTTTTTTTTTTTCGTTTATTACAAATGCTTAATCAGACTTATTCTGGATGGACCTCAAATTGGTTCAGTTTTATAGTACCTCCTGTAAACAATATTGCCATCTGATCTGAAACGCACGCTACAAGTATATCGTTATAATTATTACACTTTAGTATTAGTCAATTATAAATTATTTTAAATTATTATATCTGACAATCAGGTCACCTGCCATCGCAATAGTAGGCAGCAGACTTGACAAAAATAGCTCCCCGCCCAAACCACCTACGCCAACACACACGCACGTACACACACGCACATGTACACACGCACACGCACACATAATTTCTTATAAGTGCAGTTCCTCACTTATTGTTTTTATATCATAAGTACGCGTAATTACAGCTAAATATGGTTAGCCCGGCACAGACAAAATATAATACGAGTCGATAAGTGCTGAACGAAAGCTACAAAATCTGCCGAAATAACGATTTTCTAAATCTAAATCTAAACAACGATTTTCTTTCATGGTTCGTCCCGTAACAGTTGGTTATATAATCCTGGCGCTGTGCCGAACAAAATACGAGAGAATGATAATACTGCCGCAAGCTCGGGATTCGTTGGTTCAAGAGACTTTCCTCGAACGTGACCTCACTCACCGTTTGCACTTCCAAATGACGACTATGAAAAAAAAAAGTGAAGCTAACCACGAGCGAGGGGGGGGAAATTAAAGTGACAGTTCGTGACCTCTGCC